ATCCCCATATTTAGGGATATATCGTATCGTGACCCCTCTGTTATGATATGTATCGTATCGCCAAATTCTTGCCAATGCACAGCCCTAGTGAGGAGAAGGCAGCTTCTAGCACAGCTACCATCAACAATGCTATGGCTAACTCCTGAATCTCTGCAGGGCGTGTCTCTACAGAGGTCCTTTTATACTGAGCACAGTACCGTGACACGTCACACAGTACCGTGACACGTCACACAGTACCTTTTGAACAAATAACGAAATTCAAATGTAGCAGCCATAGTTTAGAGCTGTGCGGTATATGCTGTTACCCACAGAGATGATTAAAAAAAGACGTGGACGTTCGTTCAGTCGTAAATCCATCTTGCTAATGTAAAGTCGGCTTCTGTTCTGATGAAGATGATGAAGAGGAGCGTGCAGCAGAGCAGCAGCTCAATGTTAAACTCAAACTAGAAAGGTATTATTACCCTTAGGGCCCAGTTTAGATTTGATGGTAAGTTCCTCTTTAAGGAAAAACAAAAACACTCCTATTCTGTGGATGTTTACAGACATAAATAATAACTCATCAGATCCAAGCTTCAGGTGGAACTCACCTCGTCTCCAAACTGGCGGCCTGCTGCAGCACCTCGTCGGTCAGTTCCTGCCCCTCGTTCATGTTCCAGAAGTTCCTGATCAGGACCTGCAGCTCCTCACGCCGTGCCTCCGGCAGTCCTTCTCCGGCGCTGAGTAGCGCCCGTGCTGCAGAACGGACCCGTCGGCGGTCCGAGTCCTCCAGCAGCCGGACTCCCTCCTCGCAGCCTTGAGGGGCGGCGAACTCTTCGGCCAGCTGCTGCTTCAGGAAGCCGTCGTGCACGTTGGAAGCTGCGTGGCAGCTGGTGCAGAGCAGCAGGATGTCATGGGAGTTGTGGTCTTTCATCTCTGTGGGAAAATGTCGTCGGTACTCGTGTGGCACAATGTTTTTCCTGCGAGCAGGGGAGTCACAAATGACCATTACCTAACAACCAGAGAGTGTTTGGGCTGAATAAGTGAGGCGGTCAGACCTGATGTAGGAGTCTGCTTTTCCACAGACCACACACAGGTTCTCCTTGGCCGTCAGATAATAGTCCTGCTGTGAATCAGGACGTCCTGAAGGCTCAAACAGCAGCCGCACGATGAATGGATCCTCGCTCTGAAGAACTGCATCACAAACAGGACAACTGAACTTCAGTCTCTGCAGGTGTGTCGAATGAAAAACTTTCACCTGATTAAAAAAATGGAGTCTGAATTCCTAACATAAAAYTATTTAAAAATGTAACGTTTCCAGTCCCAACTCAGAGCTGGAGTTTACTCAGCAGTAGGTCTGTTTCCACTGAGGAAACGGGTTCTTAACTCAAACCAGTTAAGAACCAGCTCCGAACTAAGGGCCTCCACATGCTCCATCTTAACGGCTGGAATCAGCTCTCATTAGCAATGTTTCCATAAAATTTTTATGCAAATTTTGTGAAAAATGTTACAATGTTGCAAAAAATGAACTGGCTGCTCCACGTGGAGAGGAGTTGAGGTGTTAAAGGAGAAATGCTGCGAGACGCTTTTAGAAATATAATATATATAAAATACAATGTAATCCTTGGTGGAAAATAGTCCAGGAAACACTGAGGGCTTTCCTGGGAGGTGTTCACCTGAGCTGAGTGAAGCTGACCCCCCACCCACAGAGAGAGAAAAAAAGGCAGTGCTGTCAGTCAAACAGCATGACTCGCCCTGCTTTGTTCTGATTGGGCAAAACTTTGACTGTGGTTCTCTTTATTGGATGAAAGAACGGTCAGTTTAATCCCTAGATGGCTTTAACAAGTTTTTTTCTCTCGTTCATTTTTACAATGATGAACACATGCGGAGGAAAACTTTAATCCAGTTCTTTTTTTTAACCGGGAGGCGGGATCTGGTTGTCTGAAACGAAAATAGGTTGTCTCAGACAAACTAAACAATGAATGTGTCAACCCCTATTTTACATTGATTTAAATAAAACAAAACAAAACAAAAACAACAACAAAAAAAAAACTTTATTCCAAAAGTGAGGCGGCTTTTATTTAGTCGTGGCGGTGCGCCACGATCAACTACATGTAGGGGGAAACCCTGGTGCTCCTATCTTGAAAAGCCTGAGGGGCTTCCGGGGGAAGTGGTTTAGTATTGGTGTTGAGTTGAAGGTGCACAGAGGTTGTCAACTTGTTAAGTAAATAAACCAAAACAATAGACCCAATAATTATCTTTACTCAACCCTCCTTCTTCACAACCAGAGCAAAATGCATGACTACTGTCTACAACCAGGCAAAGAAGAAAAGACATGTGGAGGAGGGAAACAGCAACACAGGTACAGTGAAAGATAAAAAGTTAATAAATAGTTTCTGTGTTGCAGAAAGTATCTTCAGGTTTGCTAATCAATAAGTAGTGTTTGTACTTATCAGCTGAGCTGTGATGGAAAGAAAAATACAGACAGTGATACCTGTGTTAGTTGTTAAATATACCATGATATAAAAGTTGAGTCATACTGCCCAGCACTAGTGGAGATAAAACAAATTCTACATGGAGGAATCTGACAGGCACAGATTTGTGGACAAAATAACAGTGGATATGGAACTGTTTTTTTCTCAGAAGTGTAGACATCACTGGGARGAAACCCTCTCCAGTGATGTGGACCACAGAGAGAGGAGTTTCTCAGGAGCTCGGCACAGTAAGGTGTGTGTGAAAACCGATGTCGAACAACCACGTGAACACGTGTCGACACTCAGCTTTGGAACGAGTATACAAGACCCTGAACACCAGTAGCTCTTTAGTGAGAAAACTCTGTGGTGTTCTGAGACATGAAGCAGTTTCTGCAGGTGTAACAAAAAAAGACTTCATGTTGTAGATTTTAATACTTCACCACCGACTGCAGAGAAAATTTAAAAAACGAAGAACGCTGAAAGCCAATAGCATCCGAGTGACAAATAAGTGTTTGACTGTCTAATGGTGGGAATAAAGAAAATGATGATCTAGTTTACCTCCAATTCCTTTATCCAGGTACCATTTGGCTTTCTTCTTGTCACAGGTGCACAGAGGCTGGCCGTCAGGTGCGTACAGGAAGCAGTTATCATAGAGAGGAGCTTTCCTGAACAAGCAGAGGATGAGAAGCAGAACTTGTACAGTTGGGATGGTTTGCAGATTAGACAGGCTCTTCTGCTCTGTCCTCACCTGGCAGAATAACCGACACCCAGTGGTTTCCTTCTGTTATTTCTCCGAGGGTCTGGGACTTGCTGATCTCCAGACTCTGGACTTTCACACAACACCGGCTTCTTCGCCCTCCGCCTTCTTTCTCCATCGCTGTTTCTTTCATCTCCATCCCCTCGGCCCCGAAACGGGACATCCACCAGGCCCTGGCAGCGGGAAATGAGCTCTGAGGAGGAGGCCCCATTGGAAGGGGCGGTACTTGCTTCAGACTCGAGGCCGAGGAGACGGAGGAAGAGCGCCATGGAAACCTGAGCATCTCTGGCTGCGTAAGTTATCTGGAAGCAGCAGAAAAGAGGATTTCATATCTGAATTGTTGCTTTTGTCTCACCTTCAGTCTTACATCCATGTGTGAAGATTCTTGATACCAAATCAATTTCTGAAAAATGTAATTTGCTGACTTTTTTAAAAGGCAAAGAGAAAATGTTGAAAAGTAGTGAGTACCTGTTCCAGTGTTAGGCGATCTGCCTCCCAGTCACTGCAGCGCAGCTCTAAAGACTTATCCAGAGAGACGTTCAACAGGTCTGCTGCCAAGGACTGCAGACTGAGGCCATTACTCACAGATACCTGTCTGAAAAGGGACAGGATTTAATTAGAATGTGGATGAAGATTTTGATTTCTTCATCTTACAGCGATCAAAGCATACCTCTGTCTTAAAGCGAGGTACCGCAGATCCACAGTACATGTCAGGCTCAGGCCATAGTCCCGGGTCAGATGCTTCCCGTCCTCATAGCAGCCAACACCAACTTTTAAAACGCGTGTGTCTCTGAGAACCTCCACTAAAGTATCTGGGAACAGCTGCTGGCCGCTGCGAAATGCCAGCAGCCTCACCAGAACACACAGACCTGAGTGTGTGGCCACCTGCAGCAGGGACACAGCAGAGGCTCTGCCCTGCACCGACACCTGCAGAAAAAACAGCAGCTGTGACACAAAACCAAACCTAGCGGCCATATAACGGAAGTTACACTGTAATTAAGATTCTATGAATTCCTGGATGACTGCCAGTGGCAGTTAAACAAAGTGAATATGTCCTCTCGCGCTCTGCGCAGATCGAGATTTAATGTAAACAAAGTCGCGTACGTGACACGTAGCTCACCTGAGCGTTAGTCTATAAATAGCACGCAGGTGGTTACGTTCGGTCTCCTAGGATCTTCTCGCTGGAAGTATTTCTGTGTGACCAGTGTGACTGGCAGTCATCCAGGAATTCACAGAACCTCAGTTACAGTGTAACTTCCATTCTGTTTCATTCCTTCCTGATTGCCAGTGGCAGTTAAACAAAGCGGATGACTTATGCCAGCAAYGTCACAAGGATTGCAGTACTCACCCACCTTAGGAGGTAGAGGAAGCCAGAGGCAGGATCGCCGCGGCCAGAGTGGACTCATGGCCCACATTAAGGCAGTAGAAACGTGCAAACGTGCATGTTGTAGCCCAGGACGCTGCCGCACAGATGTCTCTCAGTGGCACGCCCCTCATCGCCGCCCAGGATGTAGACACACTCCTGGTCGAGTGGCATACAATCCCAGAGGGAGCAGCAGCCCCCACAGATTTATAAGCTAGCGCAATGGCACCAACAACCCAATGCGACAGCCTGTATTTTGACAGGGCTCGCCCCTTGTTCTTCCCACCACGGCACACAAACAGCTGGTCTGATCGCCGAATAGCCCTCGTAGCCACGATGTGCAGCTGCAATGCCCGAAATGGGCATAGCATGTTTGACAACCTCTGTTCCTCAGAGAGGAATGGGGAAGGGCAGTATGCCCCCAACTCGATGGCTGTGTTTACATAGCCCGGAGGCAGAACTTTGGGAAGAAATGCAATGCTTGGCCATAATGTTACCCCCAACCCCTCTGCCTTCCAGCGCAGGCAGGTAGGGGTGATGGCAAAAGCATGGAGCTCATTGACTCGTTTAGCCGTCACTGCTAAAAGGAAGGCAGTTTTCATAGACACCAGATTTAGTGGGGCTGCACACATTGGCTCAAAAGGTGGTCCACTAAGGGCCTTTAACACCAGTGGAAGGTCCCATGTTGCCGCAGGCTTCTGTAAGGGTGGACGTAGCCTCCTTGTACCACAGAGAAACTGTGTCACCCAATAGTGTGCCCCTACTCATCTGCCATCGATGTCGCCATGATTAGCTGAGATGGCAGCTAAGTGCACCTTCAGGGTTGATGCAGTTTGTCCAGCATTAAACAGACCCTGTATCATCATCATCATCATCATCATCGTTTATCATCATCATCATCATCATCATCATCATCATCGTTTATTTATAAAGCACAATAAAAACCAAAGTGCTGTACAGGAGCATAAAATTAAAACAATGAACAAAGTACAGTAATAAAATGAACAATAAAATCAAACAAAACAGCAAAGGCTGGTCTAGTGATCATGCTCTTTAGACTCAAATGCCTGTTTAAACAGATGAGTTTTTAAACAAAGACTTAAACTCATTCAGAGACCCAGCAGACCTCACAGACAGTGGGAGATTGTTCCAGAGCCGAGGTCCTGGAATTGAAAAGGCTCTGTCTCCCCTGGTCACAAGCCGAGACCTGGGAACAACTAAAAGCTTTTGATTTACAGATCTCAGGGATCTATTTGGAATGTGAGGCTGTAAAAGCTCAGCGAGATAATGAGGTGCCAAACCATTTAGACATTTAAAAACTAAAAACAAAATCCTAAAAATAATTCTAAAACAGGCAACCAGTGAAGAGAATACAAAATCGGAGTGATGTGTTCCCAACGTCTTGTCCCTGTTAATAAACAGGCAGCTGAATTCTGAACCAGCTGTAGACGACGAACCAAAGACTGATCCATCCCACAATAAAGAGAGTTGGTACCTGTAGGTACCTCAGGATGTCCTGCAGGGAGCAAGAAACTGGATCCACCCCCTTGTGCCTGCTCCATTCTGAAAAATGCCGCCAACAATGAGTATAAGTCCTCATCGTAGAAGGCGCTCTGGCATTCTGAATTGTTTGCTGAATGGAAGGCTCCAGACCTGCTAGAAGCTGCCAGGCCCCCTCAGCGGCCACATAGTGAGGAGAAGGTGACCTGGAGATGGATTCCAGACCTTCCCCTCCATCTGGGATAAGAGGTTCCCCCTGACCGGAAGCTGCCACGGTTCCCCATCCAGCAGACTGAGGRGCAGTGGGAACCAGACTCTCATGGGCCACTCGGGAGCCACCAGGAGAACTCTCTTGAGTTGACCGACTCACCCGGTGGAGAGTGGGCAGAAGCAGTGGAAATGGGGGAAAGGCATCCAGCAGACCAGTGGGCCAYATTTTGGCGAGGGCATCCATCCCTAGCGGGGAGTTGACCTCTGCCAGGGAAAACCACAAGGGGCAGTGTGTATTGCCCCTTGAGGCAAAGAGATCCACTTGGGCCCAGCCAAACCGATCCTAGATCCTCTGAACCACCTGAGGATGCAACCTCCATTCCCCTGGAGGAAGCCTCTGGCAGGACAGATAGTCTGTGACAGAGTTCCTTGTCCCAGACAGATGCATCGCTCTGATGGAAGCAAAGCGAGGGTACGCCCAGGTCCATAGCCTCTGGGCCTCCCTCAGGGATTGCAGTGACCTGGTCCCACCCTGATGGTTGACGTGGAACATTGCTGAGGTGCTGTTTGTTCGAATAAGCATGTTTGCCCTCGAGAGAGGTCGAGAAGTGCTTCAGTGCAAAATAAAAATCATCCTCAATTCTAGGACATTGATGTGGAGTTGTGTCTTTTTAGGGTTCCATCGCCCTTGAACAGACCTGCACTGGCACACCGCCCCCCACCCCTGGGGCAATGCGTCTGTTGTCACCACCTCTCGTCTCGCCGGGACTGTGCCAAGGGGGACCCMATGCTGTAGTCAAGTACTCTCTCTCCAACGACGGAGAAGAGCTGCGCAGCTGGGTGTAACCCGCACCTTGACCCACCAGTGCAACTGGGGGTCCTTTTGGAAGCCACTGAACCACTTCTGCAAGGGCCGGAGATGAAGCAGCCCCAGAGGTATCAAAGCTGAGGCGGCCGACAGCATCCCCAACCGTCTCAGCCACTGTTGGCCCAGGGGTGCTGCTCCCACACGAAAAGACTGGAGCAGAGACTGGATCCTATCTATTCTCTCTAGGGTCGGTCGAGCCAGCATGGCCACCGAATCCAGGGCTATGCCAATAAAGACCGCCTGCTGAGCTGGGATCAGAAAACTCTTCTGACGGTTCACAGTCATTCCCAGGGTCTCAATATGGGCCAGAATTTTGGATGTTGGCCAATCTGCCTCCTGCAATGATGGGGTGTAGACGAGMCAGTCGTCGATGTAAGCCAGGATTTTTAATCCTGACAAGCACAGAGGGCTCAAGACTGCCTTCACGCACCTTGTGAATATCCGAGGGGCCAGGGAGAGCCCGAATGGTAGAATCGTAAACTGATAGGCAATGCCGCGGTAGGCAAACCACAGGTACTTCCTGTGTTCTGTGTGGATTGGGACATGGAAGTAAGCGTTCTTTAAATCTATAGAGGTGAACCACTCTTGACTGAGTGTCTGAAGGACGTCGCATGGGCGGAGCATGCAAAATGGTAGAACCTTCAAAAAACGGTTCAGCCCCGAGGTCCAACACTGGCTGCAGGGAAGAGTCCTTTTTTTGGGATTAGGAAATAAAACCCGTCGGCCCATAAATGTGGCGGAACCACCACTACGGCCTTTTTTTCTTGGAGGGTTTCTATTTCCTGCAACAAGACCAGAGCTTGTGCAGGATCGCCTTGACCCCTGATGGGGGTGGGGGCCGACAGCGTAACTGTAACCTGTACCCTTGGGACATGGTTCTTAAAACCCATGCATCTCTGCAATGGGCCTCCCAGTAGGTCAGGTGCAGCTGTGAAAACCGTCCTGCCGTCGGCCTACAGCCCTCAGGCCATAGTCTGACATCGGCTCCGGCCTCTGGGCGGCCGCCAACTTCTCTCTTGCCCTGCTGGAGACCCACGAGGCGTAGACTGTTCCGTCCTGGGTTGACGCCATGCACCTGCCACGGCCCTTCTCTGCTGTGCAAACTGTGGAGGGGTGACAGTCCGAAACTGACACCGCAGCTCCCGCACATCACGCTGTCTTGGTTGTGGAGCAGGGGGTCCCAGGGCAGCACTACGCCCAACCCAAGCTTCTGAGGCATGACTGGATTGTCGACTGCGTTCCAGTGCCCTTTTGGCCTCCGGCCCAAACAGCTGACCAGGAACCACTGGCAGCCTCCACAGGCTCTGCCTACAGTCATCAGAGATCGGAGCTTGAGCCAACCAAACCTGGTGTTGGGTGACCACCAGCRTGGACATCAACCAACCAAGCTCCCTAGACATAAGCCCAAAGGCTTGAAGTGCTGCCCCCACCATACCCGGCTGCAGCATCTGGGACTGTGCCAACAAAAGAACAGACAGTGAATTGCCAATACGTGCCATGCGAGTGGCAATATCGTACGTTCGGCACAAAAAGTCGTCTGTCACCCGGCACTGGGCGCTTAGACAGCGAGCCTTCTCCTTTAGCGCATCATCTGGAGAGAGCACCAATGAGGCAATACAGTGATAGACTGAGGGCGTGCAACCCAGAACATGACTCTCAGGATTACGCATGGCTTCCAGGATTCTCGCATTCCTGCTGTGGTGGGAGAAGTGCCTAGGATCAGCCCAGCAGCACTGGAGCTCCTCCAAGAAGGCTGGAGATGGTGGAACTTCAAATGGAGGAGCTGCTGGAGCCCGGCGGAAAAAAGGGTTCTCCATGGGATGGGTCACTGGAGCACCATCCAGACTGACCCTGGCCAAAGCTGCCATGATAATTTCTTACAGCTGGCATGGTTCCTCCCCGAGTCAGAGCTCCTGRGGGAATTTCCTGAACCACCAATACCTTCCATACTCAGGGGTTCCCTCTCCTGATCTTGAAGGTTCAGAGAGGTGTCCCTCTGCTCCCCGAGGGTCTGAAATTCTGAATTGGAGGCCCTCACGGAGATCATATCCTCCTCCAGATCCTCTCGTGACTCCCAGGATGATGTCTGGGAAGCAGGTACGGGGAGTGGAGCAGATCTTTGAGCGGCTCCACCTCAGCCTTCAGAGAATCAACTTCTTGCCGAGATGGACGTTCTAGTCGCGGTTTCTTCTTTCTAAGACCGTGACGCTCTTCCAATGGTGCCTCCCTTCACCTCCCGGAACACGGTAGAAGCATGCCTGAAGGCGGCAGTTTGTCAGAAAATAGGAGGCCCTCAACCTGACGCAGCCTGTCCTCCCTAACAGAGAAGGACAAGATACTGCAGTTCGTGCACGGGTCAGTCAGAGCCTGAGATGGCCCACACCCAAGCATTTGGGACACAGGTCATGGCCGTCCTCCACATGGAGGGGAGCCCCACATGAATTGCATCCCGTCATTCCAGCATAGAAGTGGGAATTGCAGGCACGCACAGACCAAATGAGCGAGAACTTCAATAAAACTGAAGAACGCAATCAGAGTCTTAATTAATTATTATTATTATTATTTTACTGCACCTCGTCGGGTAAACTGAGTGAGAACCTCAGTAAAACAGGAGCGCAACACACACAAGCGCACGTGCGCGCCGATCTGTCAAACTGAGCGAGAACTTCAGTGAAATTGAAGAAAGGGTTCAGAGCCCAGGTGTCCAAACGAGAGCTGTGAAACACAGAACGCGGTCAGAAAACCTGGACCGCTCACTGGCTGGGCGCTCCTCCCCACCTGGACACAGGGTGGAGGAAACGCCAGACCGCTTCGAAGCTGGAAGCAGAGTCGTCCGAACGCGGACACACCCACCATGCTTCCTACTACAACAAACAAAACTTAAGACACGACAACCACAGCCTTAGAGGGCTAAAAGCACTCCAACTAAAAGTCACAGGCAGGATGACACTAAACCACACAAACGTGTGCTTACCTCTCAAGACCTGCAGAAGCCGATAAGATCCGAAACACGGACTTATGGGAGCGATTAACCTGCGAAGCACACCGGGTAAACCGCGAGAAGATCAAAGAGACCGAACGTAACCACCTGCATGCTATTTATAGACTAACGCTCAGGTGAGCTACGTGTCACGTACGCAACTTTGTTTACATTAAATATCGACCTGTGCAGAGTGCGAGAGGACATATCCACTTTGTTTAACTGCCAATGGCAGTCAGGAAGGAATGAAATAGAACTAAAGTTTTCAGAAGTTTCAGGTGGTGTTTTGTTTTACTTCAATGCGAAAACATGGTAGCAGGCTGGTGTTTACCCATTCACAGTCCAGCCCCAGCACAGGGAAGACTGACAGCTCCTTCTGAATCAGTGGCCACATCCGCTGCCACTCCGCTTCAGAGCTCACCATCACCGGCTTCACCGCCAGCAGCTCATCAAACGACAGGATGTGGCCCAGAGGGGGCAGCTTAGTGGTCTGACTCTCCACTGTCTTCAAGTCCTTCTCAGGGAAGTCTGCTGGCTCCACGCACCGATGCTCTACAGCTCTGAGAGTGCTGTCCACTGGACGAGGAACCTCCACAGGATGAGGAGCCTCCACTGGATGAGGAGCCTCCACTGGACGAGGAGCCTCCACTGGACGAGGAGCCTCCACTGGACGAGGAGCCTCCACGGGATCCACCACCTTCTGAGTGGAAGGCAGCTTCTTCCTTTTTGTTTGGTACACCTGCCATATGAGCAGCCCTCCAAAGGTCACTCCCAGGACTGTGGTTATGACGGCTGTTAAAGGTCCCCGATGAGACATGATGACTCACAGACATCTACAATGAGCAGGTCAAACCTGAGAAAACATGAAAAAAACTGATTAATTTACCACTTCTAGGCTGGACTATCACTTTTTGTATTATCTGGCTATGAAAAAACTTTCAAAAGCCATTAGATGATTCAAAATACTTCTGCAAACATTTTGATAAGCATTAATAGGAGAGATCATATTTCTCCAGTTTTAGCTTCTCTCCATTGGCTCCCTGTCAAATTCAGAATAGAATTTAAAGGGGACCTATTGTGCAAAATTCACTTTTTAAAGGTTTTTTTTTACTCATCTTTGGGTATGTACTTCTTAAAAAAACAGTCCGAGGACCAAAAAAATGCACCCAGGGGCATATTTACTGTAAGTAAATGTATTTTAATGTACATTAACGACAAGTTTTATACGTCTGTCATTTTGTGATGTCACAAGCCGTACGACAACCCACCAGAACCTGCGTTCAGCCCCTTACCTAGCAACCCCCGGGTGAGACTCCTCCTCCTCAGTATAAAAAGTCATCTCAGTGTTGTTGTGTAATGAGTAGCTCTGTTCACAACAAGTCTCCAACAGGACAATGGGTAGAGTGTTGGACCAGAGAGAGACCAGGGTTAGAGACTGACACAGACACTATTTAATTATTTATTTTCATTCATTATGAACACATTTTCTCATGTAGCTCTATTG